GTAATCACTGATTGTTAAAGATAAACGAATGAATTCGTTGAAATATAAGTATGCTAATCTTTATTATCTAAATAATCCAATCCATTATTTATGATGCATTAGCTATTAGTGGATTAAAGTATGCAATTAATTGAAGTACGATTTCGAATTTTGTAGATGTGTTCATGAGAACCGCCAAATGCTAGATTATATTACTTAAACCAACCAGACTGTCATGATACAAACTACGATATTTATACGTTCTTAAAATCTATCCCTAGTTGTTCGAATGAAAGCAATTATTTCTATTCCTGGTATAAATCACTAAAAATCAACGAAGTTCTTTTACTGTATTTGAAATATTGACCATACCAATGGCATAACTCACCCGATACTGCAATTTCACCTTTCTTAGTCTTGCATGACAACATCGCGAGATACTTTACTAAATATCGTTAAGCCAGTAATCTTGTTTAAGTATTGCCAACTAATAAACTGTAAGTCAGAATAAGTCATAATTCATAATCTGATTATAATCTGTGTATCATTAGATTTTATAATTTGATTGGTTCTTTATTATGTGATTATGCTCCGCTCTAACCACCCCCCTATTTGGGACGAGTCCCAAAACTCATTTTTTACGTGTAAAAGTTTGGAATTTTTACGTAATGTAAACTACATGTCAGAAAGCTTGACATTACGGCAAATTAGAGGCATTTTGCGAAGTCTAGTAAATACTATTTGGGATTCTACCAAATCCAAAAAGCTAGTAAGTTTGGGCCGCAACTTTACTCTGCAGATTTTAGATAATGCATAAACGCCTTATGTTTATCTACAGGCCTACCGAATAATTGGCGATTGCAATTTTTTTGAACTGAATTAATTGATTGGTGGCGCAATCACAATGAGTCAATTTTTACGTAATTAGCTTACGTATCATATATTCGCCGTCAAGACTGTAAATGCATGTGATTTTTAATTTTTCGCTATTTAAGAATCGGGTCACACCGGGTACTGTATGCAGCGTTCTATGTACGTACGTGGTATAGTGAAAGAAAATTGAATTGTCACTAATTGGGGTTTAATTGATTTTAATTGTATGACGTATAACAAAAATTGATTGTAATTAATTTTTTGGGATTGGGTTGAAATATAAGCAGGTCTACCTAAATAATATCAATAATCAACTTGATACATTCCATTAGGATTATTCATCTTTAATGATGATTGAATGCTATATTCAACTCCAATTCCATATTTGTAACGATATCCAAGCCAGAATATTCCATCTGGATCACTTATACCAGCTGATTTTTGATAACCGATGAATTTTTAGTTAAGAGCATTGATGATATTAATAATTTCACCTGATGGGCTATTACTGTAGCGCACTGAGCAAAAGACCCGCGTCTAATACAAAATACCCACTAAAAAAATTTACAAAAGACCCGGGTATATTATTCAGCAGCGGGCCTGTGTCGCGAAGAAAAAAATTTTCAAGTACATGCATATTCCGCATTTACAATAAGCAGTCTAGAAATTTAAAAAAACCCACATTTAATTAATAGATATCGATATTGTGATTTGCGCCAGGGTGCATGGGGTACTCAAGAAGGGGGTCTTTTGCTCAGTGCTCTATGGTATTATTTTGTACCTGACATTTTATATCAAAACATTATATGCTGTATTAGAGGAATTAATTTCACTAAAATGTTGATTGCATACGTTTTGGTCAAAATATAATTTAAGTATTGTATGTATCACGTGCTTGCTACGTCATACGTACGTACAGTGCATATGATTTCTTTGTATCTCCGGAAAAAATAAGTAATCTGCACACGTTAGTAGAAAGCTTAGTGCTACAATATACTTAAAAAAAACTTTATAGATCTAAAATCTGAACATTAAGCCTGCGTTAATACAAGTGGTTCTAGCGCTAGTAACTCAAGCCGATTAAATTTTTATGGCTCGACTAAGCCGTTAAGCCTAACCGCTTAATCAATGATTAGCAATTGAGTAATTGAAACTAGGGATTTAAAATTGCAGTAATTTTGCGTAATTTTATGTTATTTTGAGTAGTTTGAACGAGTGATATTGTTCATCGCGGCCGATTCTGTTCACACCCAAAATTTTAGGGCATGCACTTATAATAAATTACGTATTGGCATATGATTAATTAAATGTCGGAGTATTTATATAATTTAAAATTTGGGGTTACATTCAATTTAGGGTGTGAACAGAATCTGCCGCGATGTTCTGAGATCAAATTTTTCGGATTATATATTTAAATCATATGATGCAATAATGCTGACCGAACAATTGTAAAGCTGGTATTTTATATATGGGTAATTATTTTTGAACCTGGACCAATTTTATATATGATGCAATAATATTTTGGTCTGGATTCAAAAAAAATTATCCAAAGTGATGAAAAATTATATGATATCTGATTTACTAAAACTTAAATTACATGTATTGTAATTTATGTAACACAATCCTAATTGAAGCAATATCGGTATAAATTTTCATAGTTTATTTAAATAGAATTTCTTATATTTAAATTTTGTTAAGTTTAGGTTCTTGATACATAAGAATCAGTATTGATTCATAAATTCTAAACAGCCAATAAAACTTACAATAATCACATCTTAGCATATCAAATCTTCTAAATACCCATCGACTCTTTTTCTGGATATAAAATAGCTATAAAAATGGTTATTTTCAGTAACTTTTTTGACTTTCAGTACCGCTTTTGATTTTCGACAACATTTTACCCTTAATATTTTATTTATACTTTTAGATTCACAATTGATTTACTAAAAGTATATATATTTTATATTTTCGAATTATTAAACTATAAAATTTTTGAATTTTTTACATATGGTAGAACAACACTGATTTATATTCAGCATGAGATTTTTTTTTATTTTAAAGCTCCGTGCGGTTGATAATGTAAGGTCTTGTTCTACGTATTATGAAATATCTTTTTTTAAAACAAACCCTAACTTTAATTTTAATCTAACTTTAATCTAATTTTAAATGAATTTATAAGAAATATTCAATTAATAAATATATGCATTGTAAGTGGGAACGGAATTTAGAATTTTAGGGTTAGGGTATAGTGTTTATATAAAATAAAGAAATATTAATTTAACTAAGAAGTTCTAATTCCCGTTCCCCACTTACAACAATTACATGAATTTAAAATTAGAGACACACAGCACAAACCCAAATTTATTATTTACGATATATATGTTCGGATTACTTAAAATAAGTGTTAAAATGAGGATTCATTGTACTGAATTAGATATTATGAAAACTAGAAATTTACTGCATCTTTGTAGTCTAAAAATTAAAATGCTTATGCCGGGCATGTTGGCATCATGCCTGGCACTAAAGCACTAGTGCCTAAGAGGTTGCCTATACCTATGGGCGCGAAAGTGTAGGTAAGCATGTAAAGTTCCAGGCACCTTGCGCCCTAGTGCCCAACATATGCCTGAAACTTTGTACCTGCGCCTACAAAAGGCTCTGGTAAAATTCGCCAACACTAACTATGAATCAGGCAAATCCTAACCTAAATCAGGACAACTTTGTCGGTGAAATAGCTGTCGGCGAAAAGTTGTCCACGAAATTGGGTTATGCCCTTACAAAGTGCCCAGCAATTTAGACTAGGTATTTTACATCTTCGCCCATGCCCGTACCTGTGCTCTTTGTTAGGACTTGTAGATCCCTAGTAATTACCTATGTAGTGTACGTACGTACATATCGATATACTGTACGTATCAGATATTTTAGAGATCACTACTACCTAAATCTTTAATTGATGTATAGTATATATTATCATCCATATTAATTAACACCGTAAGAAATTGGTTTTTACAAATTGTAAAGTATCAATAATAGAGTTTTATTTATTTTTATATACAGTATATAGTATATACAGTAACAATATTATATATATAATAAATATACCATTAAAACTTGGTTAGCACTTTTACAAAAAAATCAAGTGTAATTTCCTGAAATAGTTTTTTCAAAGAACTTTCTATCAAAATAAATCAGTAAAATTAGTGCTTTCCATTATAATTAAAAGCTATAAAATCTGATCATAGCGATAGTAGCTTTTGGTAAACAAGAATACTACGTATATATTATATACTACATATCTGATATATATGGTTATATATACTTAGCCAAAAAGTTTATATGTATGCACAGTGCTTACATGACCTAAACCAAGAAAGAATATATCTATAATTGGAGTTCCCAACACTTAAATATTATATTTATAAAGAAATTGCGTGATTTATACTCAACTTTATCCTAAACATGGTTATTAATAACAATAGTATAACGATAATATAATCAATTCAAATGTCAAAATGTCTTCGGGGTAGAGTTAGCCCTGCAAGAATTATTACAAAAGATGTCACGTGACAACATTGTATTCTGCATCTCGACTTCAAAATATTTCTCTATTAAACACAGAAGATTGATAGATCAAATTGCAGATAAACTTATGCAAAAAATTTTTTTAAAAATATGTTTTTCCCACACTTAAGAAACTTTTACATTTATATGTATTGTACGTTCGTAAAGATTAATTTTTTCTCATTTTAATTTACCCGAATTAAGTTCAAATGAACATGAATTCATTTTAAAATTATTATTATTTATAATAGATATAAAAGAGTAGATTTATTAATAGTGTAATTTATCCTAATCACCACTGTTGTACATACTTGGTAAAGAAAATATAAGGTCATCCCGTAAATATTTCTGCACAAAAACGCAGTCCATACCATTTATAGGTCCTTCTATAGTGTTTAAAACGCATGCATATTTCGTGTCCATTTAATATAAATTAGTAACAGTAAAAATATTCTCATAAATCTTTCCAATATATAAATATCGTCTGAAATTCTAGCATTTATTCAAAATTTGATTGTATCTTTAGGATAAATTTACAAACCTTTAATAACCCTTTTTTTTTTTTTTTAATAAGTCTATTTAAAATAGAAATGTCTTCTGAACCAGATCTTAATTCATATGTAGAATCACCTATAGATGCAAAATCTCCCACTTTCCCAACTAATAAAAGTGTACCTTTTTTAAATAAACGAGATAGTTACCTTTTAGATGAAACACTATCGGATAAATGTTCGAGGAATCTCTCAATTATAGCAAATTCTTTCTCTGTTGCTAAACAAGTGTTCAAAGATTTGAAACATGAAGATTTGTCTGAAAAGGGATTGAATGTAATTAAAGAAGGTGAAGAATTGATGGAAGAAATCAAAAAATTGTTGTTCAGAGACTCGGATGAAGATAAAGTAAATCCTAGATTTCAAAGATTCGTCGAAGAGTCCGAGGATTTTGAAAATTTTGAAAATTGTCTTTGGACGATTGGAGTTTTTATTAGTGATACCGAGATTGAGGTATGTAATGACTATATAATCATTTTTTGATATATGGACGCTCTTCAATAGAAAAAGAAAAACCAAGGAATAAAATACCAACTCGCCGATATCCATTGTTTAGAGTACCTTTTTCGATACACAAATTTATTATCTTTAAATAACGATAATACTGTATATATAGTTTAAATATTCATATTATTGTAGTATTTATCGTTATACGAATTGCTAGTAAATATTTGGAAAACCTGTCATGTGACTTTAAGTCTGTCGTTATTACTTACCAGATTCAGCAACATACAGTCTGGATCACAATATTGATCGATGCATCGATCAATGTTATGATTTTCTATTGAACAGCGCTTTTTATGACGTCTTTTATAATCTTCTGATAAATCATTTAACAAATAGGTTCATGAAAGAATTGGCCGTCAAATAGATGAAACAATTAAATCAATTGATAAATTGAAATTAGCAATCAACAATTGGGGTGCTTCCCAAAAAGGTTGGAAGCTAATTAGAAGTAGAACTTTATCCCTTGTCAGATTTCTTTCAATTCCTAAGAAACGATTTGAAAGTAAAAATAAGATTACAGAAAACGATCTTTCAGAGGTTAAGTCTGTTAGAGGAAGTAAAGATCATATATTTGAACGAATTTATAAAAAGTCTATTAGAGTTGCTGAAAAGAATATTGGTCAAGATAACGATGATCGTTTGGAAGAATTAAAAAAAGAAGTTAAATTTATGAAAGATCTTCGTGAATGTTCAAATATTCTTGACTTGTAAGCTCAAATTTAATTAAATTGTTTTTTTATGTTGAAATAATTTTTCATTAATTATTATTTTTTTTCCTTCAAAGCTATGGATACTGTCGTCGATCCGATAACCTTTTTGTAGTTACAAGATGGGTAGATTATAACTTGCAAACTTACCTTACTGAACATCGCGCAGATTCTAATTTAACTCTAGCTGACAAACTCTTAATTGCTCGTGGAATTGCTAATGCATTGAATTATTGTCACGAGAGAGATATTTTACATCGTGATATTAGAACGTTAGTATATACATATATTTATAATAATGTTAATCTCACATCATATCATATCACATAATATATATTAATTATTAATTAAAATTATATAAATTTATAATTAGCTCTAATATATTGCTGGATAAATATTTACAACCTAAACTATATAATTTCCGAATTAATGAAGAATCTTCAACAACTTCCATACCAAATTATATGTTAAGGTAATTTATCTTAATTCGGGTCATCATTCGGAATACACATATACCTTATTCTTTCCTATTTCTCTTTTTAGGTGGAGTTCACCAGAGAAAATTCGTGGTGAAAATTACACTAAAGCTAGCGAAGTATACAGGTAATTTTTATAATTGAGCGTAGACATTTTAATTCTTAATTTTAGTAAACGATAATAATTATATCTTTATATTAAAAAGTTTCGCTTTAGTCATGTGGGCGATTGAATATCAACAACTACCCTTTAATACCTTAATGGAGGAAGATATCAAACTTCAAATTCTTGATGAAAAACGTCCTGAACTTACATCAAAAGATAGCGAATATCAAAAAATTATTGAAAAATCATGGTCTCAAGATCCTTCTCAACGTCATGATATTAGAACAATCCTTGATCATCTGAATAAACTAATAAATTCTTCTGGTCAGGATACTGATGACGATTCTGATAAAATTGCAAATATAGATCTAGCAATATTAAGACGTCCGTCCAATCGACGTATAATATCTTCTTCAACTTCTTCAACCACTCCAAACACTCCAACCTTCCCAAACACTCCAACCTTCCCAAACACTCCAACCTCCCCAGCCACTCCATCCTATGATTATATAGAAAAAGGTATTGAACTTCATAACAACAAGAAATACAATGAAGCGTGGGATATATTTCAAAAATGTTATAATCTCAGACAAGATGATCCAAATACAAATTTATGGATGGGTGTTTATTTACTTAAAGGATATGGAGATGTTAAACCAGAAGTTCAAAGAGGCTTGAGATACCTTAAAAAAGGATCAGAACTACAACATCCGGAAGCACAATATCAGTACGCGTTAGCTTTGCTAAATAAACCTGTTGTATTTGAGGAGGGAGATAGATACGTGACTGCGATGAGATATTTGGAAAAAGCTTCAAAGCAGGATCATTATTCTGCATTGGAACAATGGGGAAAGATTGTGTTAAGGGGAAAATATTATCAAAAACCGGATCCTATCCTTGGAAAACATTTGATTGAGAAAGCCAATAAGATTAAAATGGAAACTAGAAGAAATACACGTGTTATTGCTACTTAGTTTCAGCATCGTAGTAAAAGCGTTGACACACATGTCGCTTTTTTTTTTAATAACATTTAACTGTTACCTTTAGTATTATAAATCACCCTATATATTACCTTTAGTATATAAATCACCCTATATATTACCTTTAGTATAGAAATCACCCTATATATTATCTTTAGTATATAAACCACACAACATTTAACTATTACCTTTAGTACTTATAAATCACACAACATTTAACTGTTACAACGTTTAACTATTACCCTTAGTACTTATAAATAATACAACGTTTAACTATTACCTTTAGTACTTATAAATCACATTTAAACCTATTATCTTTAGTATATATTTATAAATCACCCAACTTTAGCTATTACCTTTAGTATTTATAAAACGCTCAATATTACCTTAGTATTTATTATTGTTATCATTAGATATAAATAATTATTAGCAGTTACGTAGTTAGATTTGGCCACACCAAATTTCTATTTTTATAACTCAATTTTTTAAAAAACAATTTCTTTTTGAAAAATCAGTAATTTATTGTCATGTAGATTTTTTATTTATTATAAATATATATATACCGATACAGATATAATTGGTTCACTTAAATTTTCATAAATAATTTCTTTTTTGACCTTTTGGCTTATTTTCTGTGACGTTTTTCGATAAATTATGTACTTTTTTGCAATTGATCCTTTTTACATCTCTTCATTCAGATTGATCCTATTTTCTTTCTGAATATTCGTTGATTGATGAGAAATTTTGGTGAAATAGATAATTTGCCTATCGATAGGAATTCTTTTTTGAAATATTCAATGCTGGCGAGAAGTTGGCTATTATTCTTAATGTAACTAATGATACATTGAAAAAACTTTTCAACAGATATTATTGTGCTTATTAGATCTTCTACGTAATTATTAAATAAATCCTGGCACATAGAAAATCTGGGGCAGATTACATTAACTCCGATCTCTGAATTAATCATTAAAACATGATATTGTTATATTAATAATATAAATTCTTTATAATAAAAAAAATTTTTTTCGAATAAAAATGTTCCAAATTGAAGATTTGCGGCCTTTTGTTAATTATGAATAATATTTTATTTTAATATTGAAACATTTTAAAAAGATATTATGGAAATTGTGTTGAAAAATTTTATATACATGATTCTGTTCAAATACTCTTGTATAATGAATGAAAAGAAAAATTGACGTAAGATAAAAAAAGTATTCGCTTATAACAAACTTGAAAAAAATTACAATTATGTAAAAAACGAATGCCGTTAAAATGCAGAAATACAATTTGTTATAATTATACAAATTTTTAAAGTAAATTACAACTAGAAATAATAGTTTTATTATATGTAAAAATTTAAAAATAATAGAATAACGTGACAAGCATCGATTTGCGTAAGAAACCACTTTCCGTGTACTAACAAAAATTTTTCCCCGGGCGATTTTACTAGATAGTCTAATCTCTAAATATGAATAAACTTCAAAATCAGATTTACATCTTATTTATCTTTAAAAAAAAGAAGAGCAACAACATCTATACCAAGCAATAACTATAATAAAGCAAACGAAATAACGAGACGGTCGTTGCTGGGAATCGAACCCAGTATATATCGCCGACAGACAACGACTTTGCACACTTAATACTCGAGAATAGACTCTAAAAATAAAACTCTCGGATCGAAGCTCTAAAAGTGAAACCTTCAAAGCAAGGCTCTAAAAGTAAAACCCTCAAAGCAAGGCTCTAAAGTTAAATTTTAAAGTACAACTCCGTCATCATATTAAGCCCAAAAACCGTTTTTTTTTAATTAAAAAAAAAAGAAAATTATCAAATAAAAGCAATACAGCAATAAACTTTTTTGCAAATTAGCAATAATCACCAATGTATTTCATAATAATCAGCGAACCCGATAAAGCTGTAAAAATAATCATTAATACATTTCATATTAGGTATCTGCAAAAGTATTAAAACCTATATACGATTATTTTCAAAATTTTCTTCTTTAGAAAAAAAAAAGAAAAACGTAAAAAGGGAAAAGAACATTACCAAATCTGCATCGGTAAAATGTAAGCTGTGATGTTTCGATTAAAGATGGGTAGAGTACATTCTTTAACAGGACAATAAACGCCTAGACATTATTTGATCAAAGAGACATAACGGTGAACGCCCATTTGACGTTACCGGTCTGCATTCAGAAATAAAATAACCAGACGAATTTAATGTCCTCCCAAACGATAATCAATTCAAAAAGCGTCGAAATTACCTATCAGAAATGGCGTATGTTCTAATGAGAAAAAATCAATGAAGAGGGTTTATTTATATAAACAAAAATTTCATAATGTTGTTTACCCCAAATCCGTAAATCACGGGGTCAAAATATAAAAAAACCACGTGTTAGTAGCAGAATCACGTGATATATGACCAATCAAATTATAGAATTTTGATGATCGCCGGCGAAGCAAAACAAGAAAAAAAAAGCGAAACCCCTGAAAAATACAAAAATGGCAGTTTAAACCTACCTCGAGTGTGTTAAGCAAAAATGACGCGAAGGCAATTTTGCATATATATTAATTAATAAAACTTAATCTAAGAAAAACCTTAACCCGAAAGTTAATTCAATAAAATATATATTATAAGAACCTACTCCGCTTTAGACGTTCCCCAGAAAAGGAAACTCGAAACCGGTTTTATTTCAGTATATATTTTTTAAAAAACTTACTGTATCAATACAAAAAATACTGAAATAAATCTGTGTAGAAAAGGTTCGATATAGCAAGGAGACTAATAATCTGAAAACTCATCAACATCATGGAAGAGAACAAGCAAACTTTAACACGTGTTGCGCATTATCGCTGTTTTCGATTTAGGAAATTACTTACTGTAAATCTGTTTTAACTGACCCTCTGGTTCTAGTAAGTCCAAATAATTAACCGTATATTTCCGTATTTCCCTTAATCACCAGCTCCGGGACTCAAGCTTATGCTATTGAAGAAGCTTATATGTAAATAGTTAAAAGTATTGAAATATATATATATATCAAATGGTTCCGCAAAACATATACAGTATACCTAATTTAAGTAATTACCTATATTGTAATAAATCCAACTAAATCGAAAACAGCGATGACTACGTAATATATTGCAGATTCATAAGATTTTAACAACCCTCAAAATATTACTATAGAGCATTGTATATATGTTGTGCGTCAAATTAAAAATGCGCGTTTCGACTTCCGGGGAAATACTGAAATGACAAACATTGCTGAAAATTGGTTTTTTTTACGCAATACCGTTATGACGTCATAAAAATGAAGATAATACCCTTATTCCTCACTACAGGGGTAGATATCCGGGCCCGAAGCGGTACTTATAATCTCGCTAATGTCCTAACACAGGCACCCATCTAATCCTAACGTAACTTCGAATTAAAATTTGATCTGACGCAAATTTTAATCTAATATACTGTACGACATATACATCACTCCAACTTTATCGATATCATAGTAAAATCCTTTTAATGGTTTTTCAAATTCTAATATAAAAAAATATTGGCATAACTCACTAGCAATATTTGGAAAATGTGGTAGAGCATGCCGGAGCCAAGGAAGTCAACAGTTGTGTATAATAAGGCTGGGTGATTTTGAGTGTCGACCGAAATCAGTGACATTTTCTTAAGTGTCACGATTTGCAGGAAAATTAGGTAATGCGATTTGGTGTTAGTTAATTTGTTCGACCTATGCATTCACCGATAATTAACATGACTTTAAAACTGTTACCAAAATTTCAATTTATTTTATAGTTTTTTCCATAAAAATTAATAAATTCGATGCAGTTCATAATTTCATAATTACCATGAGACTGTTTAAATATCCGTTATATACATGGTCGAGGAAGTATATTACATATTCATTAGAGCGTTAACACACCCTAATTAAACGTTATATTACCGTTATTGATATTTGCAATCTGGATAAAGTATTGGGTTCGAAATTTGGAGATTAATGTAACCTGTCCCGTGCCGATACCGATACGTAGTAAATTTTATTCTTACTTAGTGCTCATAGGAAGATTTTCGTATGATTGGCTGCTTAAATCAATTTAATTTTACATTATATATACAGTTTAAAGTACTTTTTAAAAAAAATAAAACTACGAAGAATAAACAAAAAAGAAGTATAATATATAAAAAGTTTTATTAGGACTGTAGGACTCCACTATTAAAAATAGTCAAAATGATTTCTGGTTTTAGAGAAGTTAGCATGGTAATAGAGTCACCGCCTATTTGCTTCATCGCATAGCATATGCGATATTTCGCATATTTCGCATAATTATATAGGCATAATCTGCGCATAAAATGATATTTTGAAAAATCGAAGCGAAATTAGCGTAATTCAGGCCGGATGATAACTGTTAACGAGTGTATTGGTTGGAGAGTTACGGAATAATAATGACAGATCAAACGAAATCAGACATATAAGTGAGGTTAAATAGTTTCATTTTAAATCAGGTTTCATTTTGATCCGTGACAGTAAATCTGTAGCTTTTGGTATAATTTTTTTTTTTCGTTAAAAAATGGTCGCATATTTCTATTCGATTCGCATAAATCGCATAATTTGTCGCATAATTTCGCATAAATTGACTTTTATCGAAAGCAGAATTTGGGGTCAGTCGCAGCAGATAGTCGCAGCAGATAGTCGGTGACCCTACATTCTATCTACCTTTTAAGAAGTCGCTATTATGCTAACTTCCCTAAAACCAGAAATCATTTTGATTATTTTTAATGGTCGAGTCCTACAACCCTAATAAAACTTTTTATTTGTTTAAAAACTGTATAAATAATGTAAAATTGATTTAAACAGCCAATCATACGAAAGTCCTCCTGCCTGCGCTCCGTCTCACAAATATTATGCATGCAGAAATTCTAACATCTTTTTTAGAGGCAAAGCTTCTTTTTACGGTTGACCAATTAACGTAATTTTTGATAATCAAAATCAGATT